TATGTATGCATTAAATCAAATAATAGGTATTGATATAAAATGTAATATTTCAGATTTCAATTAGACAATGAAGAGTACGTTGAATTCTCGAAGATGTCGGACGAGCGTATCATCGGCACCAAGGGCGAGACCGCGACGATATTCGACACGCGCACCGGACGGGAACTGATGACCCTAACTCCGGCCATTAGCAACCAGTACGCCAAGAACAGAGCCACCTTCAACCCGACTGATGAATTAGTACTTTCAGGTATGTAGAGGTATAGGCGTAGAAATAATAACGAATTTAAACTGTCAAATACCAAGCGGTCACCGGTGACCGCAACCTATTGTTCTATAATTGTGTCTGCAAAACCGGTACTCCACGAGTTAATAGAGTTAACATAACATCACGCCTTTTATCCCTGAAGGGATAGGCAGCGGTGCACATTACGGTACTAAATGCCACTGCACAATGTAACACCCACTTTTTACTATTTATGTTATGAGTCCCATGTAATAGGGGGTGATTCTATTGCTGTATACCGGTCACAATTCCAGACTCCGTGCTACTACTGAGATTTTTTTAAAACCCAGTATTACGTTGCCCGACCCGGGAATCGAACCCGATACCCCTTGCCCTGCAGTTCTAACACTTGTGACCACTCGGCCAACGAGGCAGAAAAATATACATATATCTTTATATTTATAATTCTTCTGTGAGTGTGTATGTCACTGAACTTCTCTCAAACGACTGGACCGATTTTGATGAAATTTTTTGTGTGTATTCAAGGGTATTTGGGAATGGTTTAGATTCACAAATCAGCCCGGCAGATGGCGCTGCAGGGCTGATTTCCTGGCTTTTAGGTTATTTATCCTAAACAGCTGAACTAATTTGAATGAATTTTTGTTTATACATTCAAGTGGATATGCAGGACAACGTCTGTCGGGTCCGCTAGTATATATATATAATGTTTTTATTTTCAGACGGTGTGCTCTGGGACGTTAACACTGGCAAAGAGATACATAAGTTCGACAAATTGAATCAAACGCATAGTGGCGTCTTCCATCCGAACGGATTAGAGGTATGTCACTACAGATTTATAATAGGGTACATGCCTAATTTTTATTTTAATGTCCGTCTCGTAGATTATGTTAAACTGTCAAACACCGCGAGGACACCGGTGACCGCGACCTATTGTTCTATAATTGTGATTATAATGACGGTACTCGACGAGTTAAATCATTAGACACGTAGTTTTTATTTTTTTACAGAAACGAATACTTTCGACGCTATATTGATTTGAAATGTCGCGTGACGTCACTTTTATGTACATTCTATACGTAGAAATGACGTTTTCTTTTAGCCCCCACTCCTAAACTTTGTTTCGTTTATCTAAGTATAATTTTATTATACGACAAAATAAAAAAATACGTGTATAATATTTTTTCATTACCTAACTGACGGACTAATTTAGATTGATTAGATTTTTAATTTTCATACCCTGTCATCATTCCAATCATCAGCTACTTTTCTTTATACAAAACAAATTGTTTCGACTTTTCAATGTAATACGGCGGATCATCATCAACAGCCTATAAACGCCCACTGCTAAGCAAAGCCTCTTCTCATACGGAGAAGGTTTGAGCATTAATCACCACGCTTGCTCAATGCGGGTTGGCGATTACAAACTTATAATAGGGATGATGACAGGGTATGAAAATTAAAAATCTAATTGGTTCGTAAGTTAGATATTAAGAAATATTATGCCGGAATACTGAAACGTTACTCAATTTTAAGTCGTGCATTGTGCCGTCTCTGTCATTTTACTAAGAATTTGCAGCGACAGAACTATACTTAAGCGCGACTTAAAATTGAGTAACGTTTCAGTATTCGGGCATTAGACACGTATTTTTTATTTTGTCGTATAATATAAAAAAAAAATCTTAGATAAAACGAATCTAAGTTAGGAGTGGGGGCTAAAACGTCATTTCTACGTATAAAATGTACATAGAAATGACGTCACTCGACATTTCAAATCAATATATCGTCGAAAGTATTCGTTTCTGTAGAAAAATAAAAAATACGTGTCTAATGATTTGAAGTAATCTACCAGACGGATATTAAAATAAAAATTAGTCATCTATCCTATTAGAAATTATGCGCTCAAGTTACCCCACGATGTTTTCCCTCACCTTAAAGGCCTTTGGCCAGCAGTGGCCACTTATAGGCAAGTTGCTCGATCTACCATCGAAATTATTTTGTATTGCAGGTTATATCAAATACAGAAGTATGGGATCTTAGGACATTTCACCTGCTTAGGACGGTGCCTACATTAGACAAATCAGAGGTAAGATACTTTTTTTGTAGTATTAGTAGTGAGGCGGGAAGGAGTGTCAGACTCTTACAGACTAAAAACTACCATATTCCTTCTCCTGCACGTCGAGCCGGAGCCCCGGTAACCCGTTAGGTTCTCCGCGACTACCTTTTGAGGATTAAAAGTTTGAGGATTGTTGAGGATTCAGGGATTGGAGATATTTGGGGGGGGGGGGGGTAATTAGGCCTCCAGTAACCTCAATCACACAACGCAAGCGTTGCTTCACGTCGGTTTTCTGCTCGGCCGTGGTATCACTCCGGTCGCCCCGGCCCGTTCGTGCGGGGAAGCATTACTCTCCCACACTTTTATTATAAAAAATAAAAAAAAAATGCCTCGTTGGCCGAGAGGTGGCAAGTGCGACTGCCGCACAAGGAGTCTCGGGTTCGATTCCCGGGTCGGGCAAAGTTTACTTACGGGTTTAAAAAAAATGTCAGTAGTAGCACGGAGTCTGGAAATGTATATGGCAATAGGCTCACCCCCTATTACATGGGACTCATAACATAAATAGTGAAAAGTGGGTGTTACTTCTGTGTGCACCTCTGCCTACCCCCTCTTCGGGAATAAAATCCGTGATGAATAAAAAAAAATTAAGGTCGGTTTTTTTTAAACATGTTTTAATGAAAATTGGATTATATTCGCAGGTTTTATTTAATCCTGCATGCTCAGCGCTGTACGCGGTCTGCTCCGACCAGGACGCCGAGGAGAGAAGTCAGTTCGATACCAGTTTCAAGACATTAGATCCGTATGACTATTCTAGTATAGGTGAGTTTGAACGAATTTCAACTTTATGCCCTTAAATATACAGAGCATGATACAAAAACTCGGGATTAATTCTCAATTTTTTTGAAAAATTATTTCAATTGTAGTAAGTATTATGAAATATATAAGGTGTAACAAAAATAGTGCACAATATTTTAGTAGGTCAATTAGTATGTGATAAACATCATTTTTTTATGAAAATATTTTATAAAAACGTATCAATTATTTTTAATAATTCAATTATTCATTTATTATTTTCATTGCTTTTTATGCCATCCTGCAATATGTACCTATTCCTATGTACCTATTCGAAAAGCTCGGTCGTTGACCCGTAAGATAAACGTCCGCGCGCATCCATACGGCTGGCGTTATGCGTAAAAACACAACAACAATTTTGCAAATGTGATGCTAAATTTAATTAAACATGTTGTTGCTTACATTTTTTTTAGGTAAACATAATCCTTATCATGTACTATATCACCTGTTAAAATATTGTGCACTATTTTTGTTATACCTTATATACCTGTCTACCGCTTCGACGATTAAAATTATTATGAGCCCTTGTCATGCCCCGAAACTAGTCGAGCACCCTCGACCAGTCACATTTATTAAATAACTTTTATTTTTAAAAGAGTAACGAATGGAGTTTCTTTCTCGTTCTTCTCCATTCGAAGCTACACTTCGGAACGAGCGCTTAACTTCGCTGACAGACTTCACTGTTGTATATTTTTTGTCATTTCAAAAGTACCTGTGTATGATTTAGTGGAAACATATATTTTTTGATTCCGACTGACATAAAAATAATTATTTAATTCGATCCACTATACTCGGAATTTTAATTCGATTCCAGATTTGACAATTTCAGTGTTGCAACGTTATGACAAGTACTAAATAGTGACGTTGCGAAATTATTCGATATGGAAATGTAATATTTCTGGATCGATTCTTCTCGTTTATAATTTTACTCCCGTAAACTAAGTATATGACATAACATAACATAACATAACATCACGCCTTTTATCCCCGAAGGGGTAGGCAGAGGTGCACATTATGCCACTGTACAATGTAACACCCACTTTTCACTATTTATGTTATGAGTCCCATGTAATAGGGGGTGAGCCTATTGCCATATACCGGGCACAATTCCAGACTCCGTGCTACTACTGAGAATTTTTTAAAAACCCAGTAATACTTTGCCCGACCCGGGAATCGAACCCGAGACCCCTTGCCCGGCAGTCGCACTTGCGACCACTCGGCCAACGAGGCAGTCATGAAGTAATCATGAAGGAACTTGACAAATAAAACAGATAGATGTATTATGGCAATAAATAAGTTATTTTATAAATTGTCGCCGTCATCGCTATCGCTATCCTGTCACTTTGTGTAACATTTATTATAAAACACACACACTGATTGTTTATAGATTTTTGTGTTCATCACTACACTATTATATGTGGTATCATTATTTCACAAAATGACAGTAGCTAATGTCAAATCTGGAATCTAATTAAAATTCTGACTATAGCTCCGGACATTACGACACAAACACCAAACAATCTTAGCAATGACAACTGTCTAAATAATCTTAGAAAGTACCCATAACTCGGAAATAGTTAGTTTAGTAAGGTTTGTAATTAGTACCTATAATGCGTCAAGCGTGTCTTTGCATTGTTCTCACATATGCGTACAGTATTGAAATATGTATCAGAGACATTGTAGAACATACATTTTTAAAATGAGTAACGAATGGAGTTTCTTGCTCGTTCTTCTCCATTCGAATCTACATTTTGGAATGAGCACCTAGCTTCACCTAGCTTCACTGACGGACTGACAGACTATTATTTTGTATCTGTTGACGTTTCAAAGGTACCAAATCATGGTTTAACTCGTTAAGTACCGTTATTATAGACACAATTATAGAACAATAGGTTGTGGTCACCGGTGACCGCTTGGTGTTTGACAGTTTAATTGAAATAAATGCTTGGACTTTGACTTTAATAGACACATTGGTACATGCCGTTGGTAGGTTTCGAACTCGCACCCTCATTCATGAGAAGCGGGCGTCTTAAACCCCTGGGACACAACGAGAGTCTAGTCTGCATGACTTTGACGTAAGTTTTTTTTTAATTTCAGCCACGATAGACGTTAAAAGAAATATATATGCTTTGGGCATATCTCGGTATGGTACGCAGATATCTTTAGTCGAAAATATGGGCGACTTCGAACAGATGCAAGAGTCATGCGTCAAAATATACGATGTCGGACGAAAGAGGGACCATGATGATGATGCTGTAAGTAGTCTACTATTTTGTATTTTTCATCAACAACAGCCTATAACGGCTCGTACACAAAACTGCGATGCGATGCGATGCGAATTCGCAACGCATAAAATTACGACACGTATTGCGGCGATGCGATTCCGTGCGACAAGGCGTCTCCCAGGATGAACATTCCACGCTGATTGCTTACCATCAGGTGATCCGTCTGCATGTTTACCGGCTTATTCCATAAAAGAAAAAATAGAACTCCTCGGTTGGTCTGGTAGCCGCAGAACGTGTAGTGGGTTCGATTCCCGCACGGAGCAACTCTTTTAGTGATCAACAAATTGTTGTTCCGGGTCTGAGCGCCATGTGTATGTGAACTTGTATCTTTGTAAACGCACACACGATACTTATCTTAGTTGTTGTGGCAATGTTTGTTAACAAAAAGTGAAAAAAAAAAAATCTGTCTCAAATGTACCTAATTGTTTAATTTTCAGGAGGAAGACGATGAGGACGAACTTGCGGGAGGTTCGGAAAACGATGATGGATCTGACTCAGGGTCTGACAACGATGACGATTGTAAGTATTACGTATTAATTAAGTTAAAAATGCCAGAATAATACAGAAATTAACAATACGTTTCTGTTCAGGTAAGTAAATTATACACCGTAATATCTATTTCGTTTTCGTCCCGCGGCAAAAGAACTTGCCATAAGGAGTGCTTTCGTTGTATAAAGGAAAAATTTTAAAAATAAACATGTCATTTTTTTGTTTAAAAAATAGTTCTTGGATATACGCACATGAAACACTATAGTCGGAATTTTAATTAGATTCCAGATTTGACAATAGCTACTGTCATTTTGTGAAATAATGATACCACATATAATAGTGTAGTGATGAACACAAAAATCGATAAACAATCAGTGTGTGTGTTTTATAATAAATGATACAAAAAGTGACAGGATAGCGATAGCGACAATTTATAAAATAACTTATTACCATAATACATCTATCTGTTTTATTTGTCATGTTTCTTCATGATTACATTTTTTCATTTATTCCACACACAATTGTAATAGAAAAGTCTCAGATCGTTAATTAATCGTCAAAACTAAATAATCGGTTCAGAAATATTAAATTTCCTGATATACTTAGTTTACGGGAGTAAAATTATAAACGAGAAAAATCGATCCAGAAATATTGCATTTCCATATCGAATAATTTCGCAACGTCACTATTTAGTACTTGTCATAACGTTGCAACACTGAAATTGTCAAATCAGGAATCGAATTAAAATTCACTGTTCACACAATTCAACAGGCACTGTTCGCATCGCACGCGCCAAACGACGAGAAATACCTTTTCGAGTATTACATGGCGTGATGTTTTGATAATGTACCTCTACTATGAGTTCGTAAGCGCTTTCGAAGTTTGCTTTTAGCAATGGTTCACCAGTTAGTTTTTGTTTTAAACAATTTATTTCTTTGTAATACTATTGTATTACCGAGATAGAACCATTTTATTTTTTAGTTAATACGTTCTGCGTTTGTTTTACGTTTAAAGGACCTAATCGTAACGAGTACGCAATCGGCGCTATGATTGGCTGGCACCAATGAATCAACCAATCAGAGCGCGGAATGCGTACTCGTTTCAAATACTTAAAACGTAAATGAAACTCGTACTAAAGCCTCAGTATACCAAAGTAATGATGTAACAACTCTATTGCATCGGTGATGAAGTTCATCGTCATCATCAATAGCCTATAAGTGCCCACTGCTGAGCAAAACCTCTTCTTACACGGAGAAGGTTTGAGCATTAACCACCGCGCTGGCTCAATGCGCGTTGGCGATTACAAACTTATAATTAGAAATTATAAGCGCAGGTTTCCTCGCGATGTTTTCCTTCACCGTTTGTCAGTGGTGTCTAAATAATCTTAGAAAGTACATACAACTCTTTGTACTTGTTTGGTAGGTTTCGAACCAGCACCCTCACATGAGAGGCGGGCGGGTGAAAGTCTATAGGGTATACTTTAGTGGCATTATATTATTTCATACTAGCGACCCGCCCCGGCTTCGCACGGGTGCAATATGCATTTATTATACATATAAACCTTCGTTAAGAATCAGTCTGTCTATTAAAAAAGCCGCATCATAATCCGTTGCGTAGTTTTAAAGATCTAAGCATACATAGGGACAGACAGATGGCGGATTTATGACACGCTCTATACAGAGGCGTACGTAACTATAGGGTTGTCGGCACAATGTCTATGCAATTTCTTCTCAGAGTAGTCAGTTAGGAAATGTCGACCTCATCGTTCGCTTGATAAAATTGACGTGTAAAAGCGCTGCCTTGTAGCCTATTTGCAGAAATAAATTCACTTGTTTCACTTGTTTCACTTGTTACAATGCCACAGATGCGTTTAGAAGTTCAGAAACTTATCTGTTTTTTATTGAGATCAGGAGGCATTTGATGAATTTGCCATGGGACCCAGACGGAATAGATAGTTACGCCCAAGGACGTTGAAACAAAGACGGACACAGTCTCTTCAAACAACGCCTGTCGCACCTGGCTACTATAGGGCCTATGCACATCACGTTTATTAAACGCGCCGTCGACGTGCGTTTGTAGCGATACAGACGCGATATGCAAGCAAGTCAGACGCAGCCTGTAGACCTTTGCACACCTGTATAAGTACAGACGCGCGTGTGTAGCGATACAGACGCGATGCAAACGCACGTATTTGTTTTTAAGCAGAACCTCGTCAACAGTAGCTCATCATCATCAACAGCTTATAAATGCCCACTGCTGAGCAAAGCCTCTTCTCACATAGAGAAGGTTAGAGCATTAATCACCACGCTTGCTCAATGCGAGTTGGCGATTACAAACTTATAATTAGAAATTATAAGCCCAGGTTTCCTCACGACTTAGAAAGTACATATAACTCGAAAAAAGTCACATTGGTACTTGCCGTTGGTAGGTTTCGAACCTGCACCCTCGTGCATGAGAAGCAGGCGTCTTCAACCTCCGGGCCACCACGACAATAGTAGCTAGATGGTGTCGAAAGGCTCCATTTTTTTTGTTTTAAAGATTTGCGGTGCACCAAATCGCTCCCAAAACACTTCCCTTTCCCTCGTTGCGGGGTAAACCCCGTCCGTAGGGAAGGCGCGCCGGTGCCGCGCGTTTGTATCGATACAAACGACAACAAACTGCTCTGCAGGATAAAAATGCTTAAAAAACGTGAAGTGCATATGCCCATAGACTTACACGTAGAATACACGAAGGACATCTGTCGCGTGACATGGCCCCGTCGTTACACTTCATACATTACGGTGTTGCCAGTACGGTCAAAGGTCAAAAGTCCACTGCCACCGTAAGTATTTAAACGGCGCGAGTGCACAGACTAAAAATATTTATTCCATATATTGACATACCTATTTGGTGACAATAGTTAACATGCATACAACTAAACGTCACAAGTGGTACAATTAATTATTTTGATATAATTACAACAGTAAGACTACTATCGGTTGCGCTGCAGCGCTTATATACACATGCACACGCATATTTTTATCCGTGTGCGTACGCGTGCGTTTTTATGCACATTAATATATAACTACTTACGCATTGCGCTGTGAACATCACTCACGGTGGCAGTGGACTTTTGACCTTTGACTGTACGGCCACACAAACATTTTACTAACATTTTGGTGCGTCAATAATTTTGAAGTGATATTACGTCCATCTTTTTTTCACCGCCACTGAGGTTATATAAAAAAAATATATATATATTTCTCATGGACTCAATGATACAGTGGCATCGTCTCTATTGCGCAACGCAGTGATGGGTCTGGACGGGAACAGTTCTGGATCATCGTCACACGAGGACGGAGACGCACCGCCGCGCCGCAGGACTCGACGGCGACGGGTGAGTCGACACGACGAGGACTCGGTAATTTTTATAATGCTTCGCATGTCAGCAGCGTCATAGTCAGCCCGACTTGTTTTTAAACATGACTGCTCAGTGGGCGCGGTAGCTCGGCAACTGGCTGCCGTGCAACGTATCGCGGGTTCGATTCCTGCATTGTATGTTTGTAAACGCACCCACGACGCAGGAGAAAATCCTAGCGTAGGACAAGCTCTGTCATGAAAAATGCATGATATTTTTTACTTTACTTACTTGTCGCTTGGTTGCGGGCTTAAAGCAAATCGGGTAAAGTGGTATTGTGTATTTTACTACCGAACTGTGACATCCGAAAACAACACATCCTAATTTATTTTATTGTTGTTGAGGTCATTTTCTTTATCGATCTCTTCGATTGAATATTGGTGTTGAATCGTTCTCATATAATTGAATCAACGAAACAATGTAACTAAAGAATTTATATAATAAATAAATAATAATAAAATTAACTAAAATCGCGGGTTACTCACGTGAATATACTGAGAAAAGCTCTACTAGTTTCGGTAGTTGCGGCAGTGAGTTGCGCGACGTCGCCGCGACCGCGCACGCTGCTCATGAGGACGCTGTGGTTCGAAACTAGTAGAGCTTTACTCAGTACATCCACGTGAGTAACTCGCGAATTTTAGTTTATTTAGTACTAGCTTTTACCCGCGGCTTCACAAAAGTATAAAAAGTAGCCTATGTGACATATACCAATACACACAGCGCCTTCTATACCAATACTTTTGTTTTCCCTCGGGAATATCAATTTTTTCCGGGATAAAAAGTTTCCTATTATTTAATCCAGACTTCTAACTTTACCCCTGCAAAATTTCAAAGCAAGTTTAGTTGTTACGGCGTGAAAGCGGAACAAACAAACAAACAAACTCACTTTCCGATTTATAATATTAGTAAGGAAGTAAGGATAATACTGGCAGAAATATTATTCGTTTTAAAATAGCAAGTAAATTAATTATGTCAATAGTGAAACTACATTAAACTTAAAAAAATATCTTACACTAAGCGTTATTACATGAAGCTATTTGCTCGTTCCAAAGTGCATTTTGACGTGACAACGTCTTAAATTAGGTTGCGGCTGAGAGTCACTTATGAAAAAGTGTAACGCTCGGTAACGTTACGATGAGTCACCGAACGAGAGAGAGGCCCGCCGAATGCCTTGCGTCTCTCTCCCACTCAACTATGATCGGTCTGCCGCGCGCGCAGCACTAGTTCATTCAATTTCTTGTTCCGATTGTGCAATTTAATTATATTATTATCAATAAATATTCTACCGAGAAAAAGACGTTGTCACGTAAAATCTTCGCCCGTAAAAACGACTTTACAGGCAACCATTTTTTTTTTAAGGAGGGAAAATCATCGAATGGTGAGCGATGATACGGCCTACGATGGAGATGCGATACATCACATGATAGCCCATGTCATGATCATCATATAGAATTATGGTCTATATAAAAATAATGCTATGTCGTATGTCGCAGGCGGCGGAGAACAATAGCAGTGACAGCGATGGCGACGGGGACCTAGAGCTCGGAGACATTATCGAGTTCGAGTTGGATTGATTGCAATAAATATTATGTTGACCAGTTGCATTGTTTTTTATTCGTATACGCCTTTATACTATCTTATACTTTACATATAACATGTAACGTAATTAACGCACAACCTCAAACACCCCAATTAGAATATTATATTATAATCATAATACATACACTAAATTTTTAATTTAACATGTATATGCATCCTTACTGGTCTTGTCATAAGGTTTATTCTTCTTTATTTTGTATTGAATGATAGAATTTGTATGAATACAAATAAAACTGCGATTTAAGTCTTATTGCTTTGACTTACGGTCCATTTCGATTTGTTTTAACAATACAGGGTTAACTAATATGACAATCATTTCCGTAGTTTTAATTATTTTTGGGATAAAAAATTACCTATAGTAAAAATTATATAAATCGATTCAGTTAACGATTCTGAACAAACTATTCAGGATGTGCGTTATTTAAGTTACATGTTGTATATACGAACCATGTAATCAAATCTAACATAACATCACACCGTTTATCCGCGAAAGGGTAGGCAGAGGTGCACATTACGGCACTTAATGCCACTGTACTATGTAACACACACTTCACTGTTTATGTTATGAGTCCCATGTAATAGGCGGGGTGAGCCTATTGCCTTATACCAGGCACATTTCCAGACTCCGTGCTACTACTGAGATTTTTTTAAAAAACCCAGCAATACTTTGAGACCCTTCGCCCGGCAGTCGCACTTGCGACCACTCGGCCAACGAGGCAGCAAAAGGACCTATTTTATCTAAATACTTACAGAAATAGTCATATAACCAGATTGTTGTTCAATTATTTACCTTACACAAGGAATCGTTAAAGTCCATATTTTCAGACTCCGTGCTACTACTGAGATTTTTTTTTTATCCAGTAATCAAAATAATCCAGTAATAATCAAATCTAAGAATCTGAATTACACACACTTCTAATTACCAAGAAAAGCTCTACTACTTTCGAACCACAGAGGGGTTCTTCCTCATGAACAACGTGCGCGGTCGCGGCGATGGCGCTCGCATCGGTGTTGCCACTTGTGCTGCGAGCCCAACGCGCCCTCTGCCGGACACCACGAGCGTTTGCTTTCAACTCCGGCGGCGGAGCGTTGGACGAAGCGCACGGTACGTTCACCACCGGCGCGGGTAATGGGTTCGAGGTAAAAACTGGAGACGCAGTGGATCGACGTAGACTCCAAGCTCGGCTTTCACGCAGGTGGCAGTGCCCAGCCACTATCCCTGTTGAAGCAGTGTACCATCATGAAACTTTGTAATTGTATGTAGATTAGATGACACTACAATACAATAGGGTAGATGACTAATTTTAATTTTAATGTCCGTGTGGTAGATTATTTTAAAATATTAGACACGTATTTTTTTTTACATAAACGGTGACTTTCGACGATATATTAATAAAATTTTAAATGTCCCGTGACGTCACTTCTATGTACATTTTATACGTAGAGATGACGTCTTAGCCTCCACTTATGTCGCGGAGAACCTAACGGTTAACCGGGGCTCCGGCTCGACGTGCAGGAGAAGGAACGGGGTGGTTTTTAGTCAGTAAGAGTATGACCACAGAACATATATACCCTAAGGGACGAATAACGATTCCATACAAGTTTCGCGAGGAAATTTTACCTTACCGACGAACGCCATCTATGCCTTGCCCTCCAATACTAAATAAAAGAAACCAGGGCGGGAATTTCAAAACACGCGGTATATTCTTTGTAACGACTTATTCTTTGTATAGCATTTTATACACAAGTACAGTGCATTTCTCGATAATTACCTTTAACATCTTGATCAGTATACATATAACCAATATCGAGAAATACAGTGTACTTGTGTATAAAATGACCAAATCGATAAATATGGAGTAGATAAATGAAACAAACAGAAGTATTTCACTCTGTTTATTTGGCTTAATATTAATTGATCGGGATACAGCTATATTATTTTATTTATTAGGCTCATCAACATTTATTTATACTTAAATACAAAATAAAGTAGTAGGTACTTTATTTTGTATTGACTCAATCTGTAATACAAAAATATTTTACAGATTTAATTAGAAAGTGAAGAATAATATTAAAAAGAAATTATATAATGAACAATGATTCATTTTTAGGAAATATTGTGTGTCCCTTCGTCCAGCATACTCACCATGGAATCCTGATATTTCATGAATGTCAAAAAACTGTTCTGAAATAGTGCTAAATAGTGCCCAAAGGAAAAAAATAGTGCTCTTGTACTTGCGAAGTTATAGCCATAGTTCGATGAGTATGCTGGACGAAGGTTTCGCCCAGCATACTCACCTCCGTCCGGAGAATCTGTATACGCTTCAAACATAATTCATACTTCAAAAAATAGTTCCCAAATAGTGCCAAACGGTGCCCAAAAAGAAAAAACAGTGCTCGAATAACTTCGGAGTTATAGGCTTCGTTCAGTGAGTATGCTGGGCGTAGGTTCTACGCCCAGCATACTCACCTCAGTGCGCGAATATCGAACGAGCTATAGGTACAATTTACGTCTCAAAAAATTGTGCTTGAAATAGTGCCCAATATCAGTCCAATTTTTGCTTGACTTTTGAC